TACAGGAAAAACGGTGTCAATGAGGACCGACATCTCTGGGGCAGACTATCTCACCGAGGAAGGGAAAAGATTGTATGGTAAGTTCAAAAACCAGAAGGATCTGCCTTTGCCACCAAACTTTGAGGAGGAGGTCCAGAAGGAGCAGGCTTGGCTGGGTTTGATCTTCAAGAAACTTCAAGCTGAACGCCAACCCGACTGGGCAATCGTCAAAGGGTGCGTAGTCTCTTTGCAGAATCTCGTCCGGACCCAAGTTGTTTGCGCAGTGCAGCTTCTCTACATGAAGCACGGGTGGCCATCAAGCGTGAGCGTGAAAAGTCTGTGGAAAGGAAGGCTTTGAAGGCATGCAAGGCATGGAGCATTGAGTTGAAAAGTGCCAGAACTGTCGTTTTCCTTGATGCTGCTGATGACGACATCGCTCCAGATGATGCAGCCTCGATTGAAGCTGCCTTGGAAGAGGTCATGGACCAGATGGAGGAAGAGGAGGAAATCTTTGACTTCGGGGAGCAGCATGAGTGAACTGTCTTGTTAGTTTCAAGTTTGCGTTTAGTGTTTGCTCTCTTTGGCGCACTGGGTTGGGACAGTGTGCTTGTGTGGAGCAAGTCTGTTCGCCGCTTCGGGAGAAAATGAATCGCTTTTCTGAATGTCTTCTTGTCCTTGTCCTGTTGGTGCACACACAGTCTAGTTTTGCATGTCAAACTTCGCTTAGCATACTGTTTTGCTGTCTGCATGGTCGTTGTCAGCATGATTCAGTCGCTTTGGCTTCCATGTGCACTTCTACTAAGATAAGTTCTTCATGCCACGACAGTCCTTGCGCATTGCCTTGCATTCCTGCATAGATCATGTATTTGGGTCATTGGCTTAGCTGCTCATTTCTATTTTGTTGCATGCAGCTCCTTTAAACCAAGGCTTGGCCGTGTTAGCCTAGCTGGCCTTTGTCCGCGCTGCATCGGTGTCATGGCGAAGAAATTCAACCCCTTCCCGGATCCTAAGAAAGGTAAGGGGCGTAAGGTGCTCAAGCGCCCAGCCTCTGTCAAGTCGCTTGCTTGGAAGAAAGTTCCATATGTCAGAGGCGCTCGCACTGTGAAGGCACATGGTGTTCGCAAGGAGCAAGCCCACTGGAAGCGCACCATGACTGAATTGCTTTCGTGCTCTGACACTCAGATAGTCAAGACTTTGATCCAAGACAAGTTGCTCCCAGATTGGTGAGGCAAAGTGTGCCCCAAATGCAACAAAGGCAGTCTTTAGTCATTGAAGGTTCATTGCAGTGAAGGTGTCCCCAAGTATCGATGTTCTCGCAGAAGTTGCCAACAACGTGTTTGTCCTCAATACCTGCATCCTCTCTTTCAAATTTGTCGTGGACCAGAAGGGCATTCTCTACAAGTCCAATCTGCAATGCTTCTGTTGCTTCTTCTTCGTGTATCCTTGGCTTCTATCCACATCATTCTGGGCGTGACCCACAAAGCCATGGAGAATATGTAAAGGCGCTTGGAAGAGGTTCGCAGAAAGTATGTGGAGAAGAAGGAGAAGGAGATTGTTTTCCAGAAGTGCAAGGGCTGGATCGATGTAGAAGGTGATGAGGTGACCTTCGACAAGCATGACATCTCCCAAGGTCCGAGCCTCAAGCACCAAGTCACAGGAGACAAGTGCCTTCTATGGGAGCAATGGTGTGGTCTGGTGCAAAGGGGAAAACCAGAAACGCTCATCCTTACTTGGTGGTCGGTTTTTAGATAGAATACATGTAAATACTTATAGCACTTGACCTACTTACACAAACTTACAAGTTAACTTAGGAAACTTAACTTTTTAATTGTAGCTCTAAGTAACATAAGTTAAATATAAGTAACTTGCAAGTTTTTTAAGTTATTTTAAGTTATTTTGAACATGAAAGGAGAGGTATTTTAGCAGTTTTTTTCTTCATCATTGCGTTTTGCATTTTTATTTTTTGTGTTGTAGAAACCTTTGTTTCGTAAGTTTTCTTCGAATTTCTTTGCTGCACTTGAAAATTTGATGATGTTTTTAAACTTTGGGTTGGACAATCTTAATTTGGAAAAAAATAAAAATGAGAGAGTTGCTGCCCAAAGGGCCGCAGGATAGAACATCCACGGATGACCAAAGGCGTGCGACGTGTCATTCTAATTCGGTTTGGTTTCATATCATATGATGTCATTGTACGAAAGCATGAACCAAAAAGACCACAATATACCTGAATGTGTATGGATGTGTATGGATGTGTAAGGATGTGTAAGAATGTGTAAGTCAAAAAAAATCCACTTACACATGTGTAAACCAAAAAAAATCCACTTACACATGTGTAAACCCCAAAAAAATCCACTTACACATGTGTAAACCCAAAAAAAATCCACTTACACATGTGTAAAAATGTGTAAAAATGTGTAAAAATGTGTAAAAAATGTGTAAAAATGTGTTTTGCATTTTCTGTTTTTTGCAAAATATGATATGCCTTTGCTGTCATATACGCGTTTTCTCTCAGGCCTCAGTCAAGATCAAAACAGGGGCTGTGGCCTCATGATCTTTCCAAGGGCCCGAACGCTTTTTACTTCGTATCCATCCTGTTGTCCAAACGAGAAGAGGACAAGATATCAACAAAAAAACTCAGAATCACAAAACTTTTCCCGATAGGCTTCTCATAGAGCCGCCTTCCGACAAAAATATCAAAAAATGAAAAATGTGGTTTTAATTCGTTTCCAACCCAAACCTTGTTTTTTATATGTTTTTATTCCAACACAAAAAATAATAGCTTTAAAAATCCAAAAAAGTTTCCTAAGTTACTTATAAGTTATTTAAGTTGTTTTTTGTTAACTCAAAACAAAATAACTTAAAAAAACTTACCATCTAGTTTATCTTTGGTAACTACTTACAACTACCGTAAAATAAGATACAAACTTAGTTTACTTAGCTTAGATACACTAGGGTTGTAACTACCTTACAACTAGGTTACAAGTTACTTGCAAGTGCTGTAAACCAAAACCGACCACCAAGTACTCGCCTGAATCCTGGCCTCACCGTTCGCCGTGCACCTGGTCCTGGTCCCATCAGCAAACATGACTGGACACCATTGGGGAAGAAGCATTTGGCTGGCAAGAACATCATCTTCCACACAGACTCTGCGCGTGCCTACAAACTTCGGCTCCCTGATGTCTTGCATGGCAGTGTAGTGCACAAGAAAAAGCGCGTCAAGAAAAGTGGCAAATGGGTCTGGACCAAGCCCACCTTTGTCAAGATTGTGACCCACAAGTTGCCAGGAGGTAAAGCCCTCAAAGTCAAAGCTGGCACCCAGCACATTGACAGATGCTGGAAATTCATCAAGGAGCGCGTGTGCAAGGGCACCCACTCCCGCGCAGACCGCAAGCGCTTGCAGTTCAAGATTCGGGCGGCCCAGTACGAGTACTGGTACCACGGGGCAGACATGTGGAAGTGCACCGGGGATCTTGTGCATGATTACATGTCTGCCATTGTCGTTCCAGCTTGACGGCATCTGCGGGGATCAAAACATTTCCTCTCCTGACATAGCTGTTACCCACTTGCAAGTTTGAAACAAGTCGAAATTCTTCAGGCACCACAAAATACTTTTGACTTTAGTCTCTCCAAAATCTCTGCAACCGTAGCCTCATCCCAAACCATACAATGTTTTCTGACACAGGTACTGCAAATTTGACACTTTAAATAATTCACCAAAATTGCTGCTGTCTGATCAATGGGCAAAAACGAAGTATATATTGACATATTTTTTCTGTCTAACAAACTATGCCAAAAAATAGTAGACTTCTTTTTGGGGTGGTAGTGTATATATATATGTGTATATATATGTATATGTATATGTATATATATACATATATATATATGCATATGTATATTTATATTTGTATATATATAAATGTATGTATGTATGCATGTATGTATGTAATGTAATGTAATGTAATGTAACGTAACGTAACGTAATGTAATGTAATGTAATGTAATGTACGTATGCATGTATGTATGTATGTATACATGGAATATGACTGTATGTTCTATGCATTTTGGGTGACTTGGGATTGTCCAATACACTGTGGGTGACTTGTTTGAGGACTGGTGTATTGGTGTTTTGTTTGGGATGATCACTTGTGGAGTTGTTTGTTTTAAGGATGGGGGCAGCGAGAGTGTTCATGATTTTCAAAGCTCTGCTTGGAGCATGACAGATGCAAATTTACGGATAGATAGACAGATAGATAGACAGACAGGCACATAGAGAGATAGAGAGATAGAGATATACATAGAGATATAGAGAGAGAGAGATAGAAAGATGCACGGGGACTTCATGGGATATACAATGGGAAGTCAGATCTGTGTTCTACACTATTTCCTTGGATCACTCGTAGGAGAAAGTAGAGAGGGCTGTGCCGCTATGCTTTGGGTTTCGCAACAGCCAGTGGCTGTTTCCAGTGAATGTATGCCATGTTGATCCATGTTGATGGATGTTTCCGAAGTCATAGGCGTACCCCGAATCATCCAAGTCATTGGAGCATGGTGACTTGGGGTTTCACTGGGATGACTCTGAAAATACTCAATCAGTGGACAACAGGAATCGATTTATTGGAGCTACCAGATATTTTCGGTCCATGTAGGGCCTATGTAAAGGGGATATACCGTGATATACCACCAAAATATGTTTTTATGGTACAGTACCTTCAGTTGAGGTACCTGAAATGGCCATTGAAACAAGTTCGATCCCAATCAACTCCTTGAGTACAAGACCACCGCATATGTGGAGTAATTAACCACTTCAGACACTGGTTGTATTGACTAACATCCTATATGTAGATTTATACTGGCGTCACTTACGTCGAAAGAGTGTGTGTGTATGTATATAATATATATATAGTGTATAGTGTGTATATATATATATACTTATTTACAAATGTTTATGTATATATACATTATATACAACATTATTATAGAACCAATAATGCAAATCTCAAGATTGGGTTTCCCTCAATGAGGTGGCCGATTCGCCGTTCACTTCACCTTCCTCTTAATGTTGGCCATGGCTGTGAACTTTGTGTACGATCCAAGTGGCTTGGACGGACTAGTGGGATGAGTGCTGGAATGATACTTGGGATAATATGGGTTTGTCTCAGAATAGGGTATCCCTAAATCCACATTTTTAAACCGTCATATTACCTATTTTTTGGAACCATTATTGGGGTAAACACCCCATTTTCAGACAGACCCATGTTGTGTTTTTCTTTCAAGTCATGGCGGATCCCCAAGTCACCATAGGTTATCATAGATTTCAACAACATGATTTGAACGGCACGATGACTTGGATGATACGGCCGCAGTTTGGGGTGATCTTTTTGGGTACCACGGTACTTCGTTTGGAACTTCACCCCGGTTTAGATTCCATGTTTCTTTTTATTCATCATGAAGATCCTCAATTCGTCATGTTGGTCATAATATCGATGTATAATATATATTATTTATTTATTTATTTAGATATATAATATGCGCATATTACAACTCCTGAACGCACCACTAAATTGTGACCGATTATACTTGCTTTGGGGTACCATTTACCTTGGCAATTTGCTTGATTTTTTCGGACACATTTGGCAATTTTGTTGGAGAGCTGTTGGATATCCCATCAACATTCTGACTTCGCCAGGGTATCCAAGGTTAGCCGTGGTACCGATGACTGAGCAGGTCCAAAGTAGTTACAGGTCAGTAGTTGCTTCGCTTGTGGTGACAGCCCTTGTATTTTTTTTGTTTTCCTAAGTTGTATCTAGTGGTTTTCATGATTTTCTAGCTCGCCGTTTGAACCTGTTTGAACGTTTCCCTCAATTCGAGAACCACAAGAATTTCCTACAGGGAGACCGTCGAGGTTCAGAGATGTTCACCATGTTTCTTAAGTGGGGCCCATGGGTGATATGACATGTCCTGTCATTGCAATATATTGCAATAAAGCCAGGGTTCATTCTCTCAGTATTTGCCGTTCACAGCCCAACATTTACCACCCCAAGGTACCTCGAGTGTGCGTGCTAGTAACTATAGTAATTGAAATGGCGCTGAATTACTCAACAATTTACAGACCCTGCATGTTCACAACCGAAACCTTGGTTTAACACTGAATGGGGGAGCTGCTGCAAAACATATGAGGACATACAAGCCATTGCCTGACACGCCCAAATAAATATATTGTTGGTTTTATATTCCAGTAGATCCCTATTTGTAGATAATGATGTTTATCTACATTATATCCTTATATACGTAATATACATATATTTCATTGCAGATATACACCATTTGTTTGAGTCCAAAGCCATATGTTTTCAGTATATTCCCAGTATATCACCAGTATATCACCATCATATCCCCACTATTATGCATCCATTACATACATGACCATCATATGACCATTGTATGCCTACTTGGATGTGCATCCCACATAGTAAGTGGTTTATAATCCATATATAACCCCTATAATCATTTTTACAAAAGGGAATATTGAATATATATATATATAACTGGGGGCTTTTGCCCATTTACGAAGTGGGATTCAGCCCCAAGTAGGCAACTGTCGTGCTTCAGGTTTAAGAGCTTTCTCAAGCGTCCTATTTTGGACGCTGCTCTACAGCTACTTTGCCATCTTCCATAGCCTCAACATGATTGAGGCGGACGTCGCCAGTCTGGGATGTCCATCCGTTTGTTTGTTGAAACGTTTGAGTAAATGTTGGATGGATACTTAAAATTAATCCTTTCCGTTTAGTGGGGACTATCCTAACCAACTGTTTTAAATATTGTGCAGGCTATCTATATAGGGCACAGCAATATGTATCAATCTCCCTATGCATCCCAGTGAAGTGGTAGAGGAGAAACCATGGGAAGATCGTGGGGGAGGCGGATCAATATCTAGGACAAATAAGAGTAGATTTGGCTGGGGGATGAACTTCTTTTTACCAATTACCAATAGAGACCAACTGTAGAGACCGCTTCGGCTCTCGCGTTTGGTGGTTCACCCCCCCTATCCGCCTTGAGGCCAAATTCCTATAGGTCAAAACTTTGATAACTTGCCATTTGTTTGGAGGATGCTTACCAACCAAGTTGCATAGAGATTTTAAGAACTGCCATGAATCCAGGATTTTCGTGGCATGAGATACATGACCATTAAAGTGTTACTGAAAAATCCCCGTCATATTCCATGATATTCCCGTGATCCATTCTACTCCCATGCTGAAATTATATAACTACCCCTAAGAGACCTGGAAACCATGGTTTTCGATTTGGGATTTACACATATTTGGGGCCATTGAGGGGGTGTTTAACATGAGGGGGATAGGATTATAGTTGTAATCATACTTGTAGTCATATTTATATATGTATGCATGTATATATTTATACATATTTTGATATATATATATATATATGTACATATATGTGCGTGTATATATATATACAATATTGGTCCCATGTAAATTGACCAGTCCGCATGTTTTTATGATCCGTTGGCAGGCTCCTGCTGGCTGGCAGGTCTCTTGTTTCTACGCAGCTTGGGCAGCATAGGGGGAATGAGGATTGAACCGACGAAAAATCATGATTCAATGGGAATTGAACGTAAAAAGTTGGCTTTAACCAACTAAACATGGGGCATTAACCATCATTAAAGTAGTTGCAAATCAAGTGGTGATGGACCTCGGTGATGGATAGTTTCGTACAACTTTATCTGGTTGGTGGTTTGACATATTTCTCCTATATGACTGGATTATGATTTTAATTGACGAATTGTGTCCACCTGTACGGGCAGCGAAACCATGAGATGTCAGGACGTAGATGAGGAGAGAAAAGCCAGTGATCTCATGCAATGTCTGAAGAACTCCGCAGAATCACAGCCCTGCTTGAATCCAGGTTCTATTTCTGCACCTCTTTTTGGTGTCAAACCATTGGTATTGGTCGGCTCTGGACTTAACTGAATCCAAGCTCGACGTGTCTGCGCTGATTCCCAGTGAGAGGCAGGTGGAACCTTAGGGTATTTTAAAGGGGATGATGGGATATGCAACTCCAACAATGGGATTCATGGGAAACTATGGGAAACTGTCAATGATGTCCACATTTTTGCACATTTTTGATATTGCGGACAGCACTTTGCAATCCGCTGGTGGATGATGCAAATCCTTCACGACCTGTCTACTGTACAAGTTGGAGTGTAGTCTCCGACGAAACAGGAGTCCCAACCTTAGCCAACCTGTGGAAATGATGCTGAGACTAATTGAGCAATGATCAGTCAACCCTGGTTAACCTTCGTATGAACTGGGATTTCCGGCAACCAGCAGAAATTTGCTGGTTGCAGATCCATTCTTGTTTGTGTGGGAACTCTGCTTGAAACCCTTTTTGGTTGATGGCTGCACTCTATGTGCGCATTGCTTCCCTGGGAAGTCCACCGAATAGAGTGTTTGACTCATACGCATGTGATGGTTGAGGTTCTTCTTGTTATTGTGTGTACCACACCCTTTTTGTTCATCAAATCCCATGTCTTTTCTTTATTAGTTAGACTCTGTGTTTTGTTTGTTAAATCGGATGTTTTTGGCCGTTTCAGCGCGTTATGTTTGATTCAAGTGTATCTCTCTCATGTTTTCATTCCATGCGGATAAAGTAACTAAAGTGGTTCAACAAAAATCTATAACTGGTTGGTGGTTTGGAACATGTTTTATTTTCCCATATATTGGGAATGTCATAATCCCAACTGACTTTCATATTTTTCAGAGGGATAGGTCAACCACCAACCAGATAATGTCTCCCAAGAATTTTTCTGTGGTGCTGCCAGGTTCCATGCTGTTTCTTTGACCTTGATTTGTTGCACGATGTTCGACTCGAAGTTGACGGTGCCGCGGCCGGTGGATCGAATGGATGGAACGGGTTTTACTTAATGGGAATATTATGGGATGAACGGATGGGAATAATCGGGTCTTAGCAGCTACAGGTGCAGAAATCACATCTGAACATTTCCGCAGATTAGAGTAGGATGCAAGCCTGCTTACCAGAAAGGTGCCACTAGTGTCACTAGTAAGTCTTGAAGTTTCCTGAAGTTACAGGTTTACCTCATTCATGCTGCGTATAATTCACCTCTTTCTACAGCGGGGATCGCCTCAGCAGGTTCCGTGGTGTTGCTTCCATGCAGCTCTGCAATTCTGCAACTCGGTTTATTTGGGATTGGCAGGGTTCCTGAAAATTCATGAAAATTCATACATATAACAACTAATATTTGATATTCATACATGTTCAAACAAGAACAACTAATATAACAACAACTAACATATCAAACAAAAATGTTAATGTTGGATATGAAAGGATATCTTCAATATTGTTAATGTTGGATATCTTCAAATTCGTCACAAAAATTGGATCCCTGTGGCTTTCCCTTGGTCGACTTGTGGATCTCCCAGAGGTAAATCCTGGCAACGTTTTGGACTCGCTCAATGCCTCTCCTCGTCAGTTCTTTGTGACGCGACGCATCGGGATCCATGGAATCCATGGCTTAGGAACGGTTTGTGTATCATCGAAGCTCTTTAAAGAGCCGGGTTCAAAAGCCCTGATTGATGATAGGGGATTATATGGGATTATACTAACCGATATATTCGGGAGTAACCCAATAAGAAAATCGCATGCACCAACCAGTATAATGAAACGACACCGGGTTTTGAACTATTCAATAATATTCAAATAATATTCAATAATCCCAATAAGAAACTTCAGAGTTACTTTGATATTCAATCATATTCAAACATTGGTTTCTGTTTAGGTACTTCTTATGTTTAGTGTCCTTGTTTTTTTGGGTATTCAATGAAGATGGAGATGTTTCACGGAGGAACATATCACCCTTCTGGGTTGATCACGGCGCGTGGTTGGGCCCATCAAAAAGAACCAATCAACTCGATTCATCATCCCATATATGCCTCACATTTGCATACAATATATCTATACTCTCTATATTTCATATTTAATATTTTTAATATCTTATCTATTTTAATATTTTATTTTTTATATTAATAATAGTAATAATAATTATCATTATTTTGTTGTTGACTATTATTATTATTATCATTATCATTATTATTATTTATTATTATATATAGATACAGCATGTATATATTTATGTATATATATATATACATATTATATTATTACTTTATATATATACATGCACTGATTTTTCGTTTCTCAAGAACTCGTTTTTTCCTGACCACATCAGCTGCCCTTTTGCGCCTTTTTTTAAGGCCAGGAAATCTCGGTGCAATTCTTGACGATCATGCCGATCATTGCCATAGAAACTCGGGATGCGACGGAACCACCGCGGACCTATGCAGAATTCTGCTGGTAGCTGATTTTTATAGGAGAAAACTGAAAAATAACCATGGTCTGTTTTATCAGGTTTTGGCATGTTTATGATTCTTAATTATCCAGACCCTGGTTTCAGTCGCCACATGTTAGCTTGCTGCTCAAGCTGAGCTGAAAACATCTATGTTTGGTAGAAGTTCAAGCATGTATGCACATATTATTGGTATTTCTCAAGATTCTTCATTCCACACACATCCCAAATTGGATGGTCCAGTACAGACCAAAGGGGTACCTTTTTGGGGTCCACTGGTTCCCCGTTTTTAGACACACCATTTTGGTCGGATACTTGTCGCCAACTCTGGTCGCACATTAGGAGAAATTGGTGAGGCTCAAGATTGAAGCTGTTTTGGAAGCTTGGTCCGTAAATTTGTGATGAATGGAATCCATCAAAACTGGAATGTGAAACACAAAGATTTGGGCATGTACTGGTGGGTAAACCAACTGCTGAATATAGTGGATTAAAGGCCAACGACATATTGTGGGAGGAATATCTATGTGGTATATATATATATATATAAATGATTAAATGATTAATTAATCTGTATATGTGTGCCCTCTCTCAATCTCTATCTAACTATCTATCTGTCCGTCTATCTATCTATCTATCTATCTATCTCTATCTCTATCTCTATCTATATGTATATGTATTTGTATATGTATATTAATATATTATACACAGAGATTACATGCACACGTATGTATAATCAAAATATGTTCCTTTGATCGTCCTTTGAGCGGTTTCTACGTTTCGCAAGTATTTTCACAGAGCAGATGAGAAACAGCACACCTGTGGGACCATGCGAACAGTGTGATGAACTATACCTTTTGGTCAGTTCTGCCCCAGGTTACTGAAAAGCACGCACATTGCCTTCCTTGTCTTGTGAAGGTGGAGATTTTGGGAACCAACAGTGTGAATTAGCACATGGCACCGATCAATCGGGAAAGCGGCACAGAATGGTACCATCCGTTACCATCTCACTAGCTTGCCATTCCATTGCAGCATCAGTGGCCAAGGAAACGCAAGACGAATCTTCCTTGGTCTCTGGTTTTCGTCACGTCTTGCGGGGAGTCGCTCGGCGAAGCTTCGCTCCTGTTTGGATACACCTTGACTGTCTCTGAAAATGGGGCTACACCAAATTGTATCCCCGTGGCAATTTCCACTCTAGAAGTGGTGAACCTGTGCATAGTTTAAACAATTTTTTTAATGTATTGGAATTTTCAAAATTGATGTCAGGCTAGTCATTTTATTGTTGGGGGTTGGTCTGAGCATTTTATTGGCAAGGTAAATCCTGATGATTTTTATCATATTAAAATTCCATGCTCATTTTATTGCCAAAAAAAAATTGTTTGGAGCATTTTATTGCAGAATGGAACCAATGCTTTTCCAGGATTTTTTTATATCGATTTTATTGGGCATGTCATTTTAGATCAACGAATTTTAAGGAATTTGAGGGAATTCTAAGGAATTTTAAGGAATATTAAGCACTTTTAAAGGAATTATAAGTTATTGAGGAATTTTAAAGGAATTATAAGGAAATTGAAGCAATTTAGATAAATTTTAAGGAATTGTTCAGGAATCTTAGAGGAATTTAAGGAATTTAAAGCAATTTGACGGAATTTGAAGGAATTTGGAGGATTTTTAAGGATCTTTAATGTTTTTTAATTTTAAAGGATTTTTAAGGAATTTTAAGGAATTGCCACGCAAGAATGCCATCGTATTGTGTTGCTATAAAATGCTGTAAAAGAGAAAAACACTTAATATTTGGGCACCTTCACTCTAAAATACCCCTATCTAAAAAGAATTTCCTGACCCCTCTTTAAAGAGGCGTTTCTGAGGGTCTTCGAAATTGGATGAAGTTGGATGCAAATTCGGGCATGAATTTGCTGGCAAGGCATTTTATTGCAGAACCAGTTTTCATTTGTTTTTGTGCATTTTAAAGCCTGAGGCCCTATGCACAAAAGTTGGACCGCTCTAAAACTCCTGCACAGCTTCACATAATGAAATGGAACCCCGATCAAATTGTTATTTTTTATAAATTCGCGATAAATTATCACATGTGGAGCGACAGTTTACCAGCTTAGCAAACGAACTGGGGCACCTTGTAAGTGGTTTATAAACCAAATATATACATAGGTATATATATTCACACATATTATGCAATAAATGATATATAGACATACATTTACTTGGTATTTGTGTTTATGTTTCGTTTGTTCGATCTTTTATTATCTTTTACTTACAACCAGTGGGAAGTACTTCCATGAACTCAGCGCCAGTTGATCATGACGCAGGTTTGTGATGGCGACATTTTGCTGAACTCCAGCTATAAGTGGCGAGACGCACTTGACACATTTGTCGCGCTGGCTGGGCGCAGTTGCCCCAGGGATTTATCCAAAGCACCTGGGGATGTATGAAGGTTATGGTTCAACCCCATTTACAGTGAAATTAGACCTAAATACATTGAAAGAAACATAAGACTAGAACATAAACATGTTGGTTTCGCCAACGAGGACTCTTCTTGTTCACAGAGAGAGTCCGAACACCAAACTTTTGGGGGTATGAGCCTGAAAGGAGGCATTTCTAGCCAGAATATGCGTTGAGTTGGCTTTCCAGCAAAAGAATGACTTCAATAAATCATGATAATAGTCATGCAAAAGAAATGTACTTCCTGCCAACAGAAAACATGTTATATAAGCAAACAATTTGATTTCTTCAAATGTGGAGTTCGCCACAGTGATCCAAAAAGGTGGGAATTCACAACATGCGCCCCGCGCCAAGGATCCTGGAGGATGGCAGCTCCTTAGATCGTCTCTTAGGGCATCCCAAAGGCGGGGTTTTCTCAAGCGAACTGCTAGCCATCATATAGAGCTTTCCATAGGTTTCCTAAAATGGGGTTACCCCCAAATCATCCATTTATAGATGGGATTTCCCATGAAATAAATTTTAATAAACCATCCAGTTATTGGGGATCCCCCATTTATGGAACCCCATATTTCATCATATTTCCCATAGATATCCCATGAAAGCTGGGGATTTCGGGCAGGAACCGCCACGGGCACCAGCCTTGTGAATCTCTTCACTGTGGACGATTGCGACCTGGGATCAACGGACCCATGGGACCCACGGGACCCATGGGATCTTGTTGGGACTATGTACATAGATATGTTGACAGTGTATATATATGTACATAGATATATATATATATATTGGGATACAGAACTCGATTAGGATTTGTATTGGGTTAATAGTGGGATGTGTACTTGGGATATCTTGGTATCTGTATATATATATATATATGCTACGTAATTATGTTACAGCAATAATCCAATTAGGAGCCATCTGAGTTATCAGGGATCAGTCCATCACTGCTTGGTGCGAAGCCAACGGTGGATACCCTCAATCCCGATAACCACCTACAAATCCTGGTTTTCGTATTGGATCTATCTGGATAAGTTGTAACATCTTAGAACGACCTCACTGCAATTTTGCTGCAATCATGGTCAGTATGGGCAAGCTTGGTGAATTGTTAGAATTTACGCTGAATTATGTATTCTTTGTGTCGCTTAGGATCCCTTCTGTGGATGATGGTATGAAATTTCGAAAAAGGGCTTCACTATGATTCAGGGCTTAGACTTTGCCGGTGGCCCACATTTGGGTACCCAAAAACAGCCAGGGCTTCTCAGTGGTCAATATCCTCATGCCAATTGGTACTCTCCGTTGAGGATCTGAGGCCTAGATGGTTCCATTTCTATTTCCAGAATGGCCCAAGCAAGCCCTTTTTAGACCCTTCATGAACCCGATTCAGCTCAATTCAAGATGCTTGACAATATCACATATGCTGGGATTGATGTGATGGGTATGTATCCATCGCTTTCGATGAGTATCCACATGGTGCAAGTACAACCTATATTAGCCTATATGTACACATACAGTGTGTATATGGATTATTCATTTATTGTTTATTTATTTGTTTCTTGATTTGGTCATTTATTTATTTATGCATGCATGCATTCATGCATCCATCCATCCATCCATCCACCCATCCATCCATCCATCTTTCCATCCGTGCATACATGCATCTATGCATCCATCCATCCATAAATACAACCATACATACATACACCTACATACATCAATACATACATAGTACGTATGCATATCCATTGTATTCCCATCTATCCATATACTGGCTCAGGGCAAAAATGCAGGGAAAAACATTGTAAAACACATATTTTTTGTAGATTTGTATATAAATTCATCCGTATTCCAGCTCATTTATCCACAGGTTTTGTCAATGTGATGTACCAAAATTGTCGAGGAAAATTATGATTTTCTCTATGGGATTTGTGGTGATCCTCCAGGTGATCCTCCAGGTGATCCAGGTCATTTTGCCCAGGCAAACGCTTCGTGCAATTCATCGCGACCAGCGCCAACAACGCGCCGTCGATGCCTCGCGGCTTTCGTGTGACCATGAAAGGACGCCAAGGACAGCGAAGATGATGGTCATTGGAAGTAGGCGTATACCGCCGGATACCCTATTGACAAAGTCCATACACTCGAATATACCTGTGACACTGGGGCTTAACATGTGCTATATATATACACAGGTATCGTTTCATCAATGCAAATGGGTCTGGAATCAACAGATGAAGTTGGGGGTTCAGCTCATTATAAGGTTTCATCAAAAAACATTGGGTCTTATCGCGCAGATCCCGTCGAATAGTTGGTATACCCTACCAGCAGTGAGACTATTAACCAACATGAGTTTTGCCATTGTAGCCTTCTCCAGATTTATTGTGAGCGTTAATCGCTGTATCTCCCTTGTCAGAATCCTGGTACCCTGCTAGAATTCCAAAATAGCTTGGAAATAGACATGCATCGCCCTGAAGAGAAAAAACAACAATTGGTATCGATGTATTGACCCATCCCCTTATCTATCAACCCCAAACCAGCCCCAATTAAGGTTTATTAATGCTCACTGGGATAGTTTATTCCCTCGGGTTGATAGATAGGGCTGACTATTCTCATGGTTTATTTCATCCTCAATGAATGCGGTTACTAATGGTCATCAATGGTTATTCATGCACATTCTCACCGTTACAACCGGGACCTCTCCACCAGGGCGGTGTGGCAGGGTGGCGTAGGACCTGTGGCCATGGACCTCTTCCACGTGCCCATCCGGGGCCAGGGCTTCAAAGGCAGGGCATGGCAGGGCTTAAGGCTTAAGGGATAGATCGGAATAGAGCTGGGCTGCTGAGCTTAATCCGCGAAAATGGCGTGGTCATCAAAAAATGGCAAAGAATGGAGATTTTGGCATCAGAATTGAAGGATTTTCAAACAAGACGTGGTTTGGGGGTCCCTATAGGGACCTCCATGGGGGGTAACCATCATAGAATGGTGATATCATAGGGCCATAGGGATAGAATGATACTTACTTTATCTGACCTATGTTGGCCACTGTGACCTGCCAATCCGCTGAGATGTCCCATGTTTGTTATCCCAAAAAGGCGATCTTTTTCTTGACATGTAAGGAAGCCTGTTCTGCTTGCAAGAATATTTTGGGAGGCTACCCAAAAGAAGTTCGGTATTGGAGATTTCAGCAGAATACATACAGTATGTCAATACATGGAATACAAAAGAATACATACATGACTGAGTGCTTGATTTTCAGGGCCAAAAAAAAAGTCAGCCGATGTTCACAGCCTTTTTCGATCTCTGGTTGCTTTCTCTGCTGCCCAAACTTGGCCCGCCAAGCCGCCTCACATTTTGCAAACGAAACACATCATTTTGACTTGAAGCGGGCGGTTGGGATTTACATTCTAGATCTGATTCGTTAGGATTTGTGATAGTTTGTTGTTCAACCATAAAATGTTGAAGCTTCATTTTCCCTAGTTCTGACTAACCAAAAAAATTGGTCAGATTATGTCATACGTTCTCCAGGTTATCCAGATCTAGTTTGTTTATACCATCCCCTTCAGCCCCCATCAATTTCCAAACATATATTTAATCTGATATTCCCACGGCATCCCACATTAATCTAAATTATATATATATGATATATTTCATATGTATATTTCATATATGTATACATATTTTATATATGTATAATTATATGTAGCCTTGTTATCCCATATCCAAGACAATGCCCGCCATAGGCTGCAATCATCTTCTGGCCATCAAGCAGGACGCGGATCAGGTGATCCCCGATGCGCCGCTGGAGGCACGTGGCGTCCCCGGCGCCCCCAGCTGTTTGACGCCGGGCGATGAGATGTGCGGGGAGGGGAGGATGGTGGAGCTATGATCGGAAGAGAATGACTAGGTAGTGACCAGTTATGATGATGGTTACAATATGTTGCTAATATCATTATACTATGGTTATTAGAGTCTTACATGTTTTTTTAATGATATGGCTATAGCAATGATATCATGATTCTGAAAATAAGACTACGATTACCATGATATAGTTATACAAATTATTCATGAGAAAATAACTGATAGCTATGTTATTCAGTATACTTGGCTTTGGGATATGACATATCACAGCTTGAATGATTGCATTGGGACCGCGTTTTTGAAATGATGAATTGATATGAACGCAACACTGATTGATATTCAAATAGAATGATTTAACATGAACTTTCAGACTGAACATGGGTTTGTTCAAAACTAGGGTGCCTCAAAAAATATTGTTCCCCACATTGACGTGTGGGGTTTTTGTTTTTAGTTCTGTATCCGCCTTCCTCCGCCGCCTCCCGCCTCCCGTCTCACAATCACTCATCACTCACTCACTCACTCCCTCACTCTCTCTCTCTCACTCACTCACTCACTCACTCACTCACTCACTCACTCACTCACTCACTCACTCCACTCACTCCACTCACTCACTCACTCGCTCACTCAATGTGCATTTTGCGTGGCAGGTGTGGGGCAATGTGCACTGCCAAGGGGTTGGATGTACGCCCTGGCGTCCCTTCAATCTCCGCCTCTTTGGCGTGGCAGGCGTGGCACAATGTGCACTGTCAAGGGCTCGGATGTACGCCCTGGCGTCCCTTGGGTCTCCGCCGCTTTTGCGTGGCAGGCGTGGGACAATGTGCACTGTCAAGGGCTCGGATGTACGCCCTGGCGTCCCTTGGGTCTCCGCCTCTTTTGCGTGGCAGGCGTGGGACAATGTGCACTGCCAAGGGCTCGGATGTACGCCCTGGCGTCCCTTAATTCTCCGCGTCTTTTGCGTGGCAGGCGTGGCACAATGTGCACTGCCAAGGGTTTGGATGTACTCCCTGGCGTCCCTTGGGTCTCCGCCGCTTTTGCGTGGCAGGCGTGGGACAATGTGCACTGCCAAGGGGTCGGATGTACGCCCTGGCGTCCCTTGGGTCTCCGCCCCTTTTGCGTGGCAGGCGTGGCACAATGTTCACTGCCAACCAACACAGGTTAAACAGCTGTATAAATCAATCTCGTGGAACACCTTATAAATCGAGCATTTTCAGTGGGCTTGGGTGCTATTGCTTTCAAGATTAATCCTTCAATGATTTGCAGGGCCCATGCAAGGTTTTAGTACATGCATCTTGAATAAACATGCAGCAGGTATAGGCTTTCACCTCCCCTCAGCCATTTCGTGATGTTCTGGAACTGGCTTGCATAGGAACCGGCTTTGCTTTAATGATGAAATGCGGAGTGCGCAAAGAAACAATGTGCAGGAGGCATGGGTTTCCAACATCCATCACATAATTGAACTGGCTTGCGCACCTTTGCTCTTATGATTTGAATCCGCAGTGTACACCGCCGTGCAGTAACAATGTACAGGATCGGTTTTCAACATCCATCACATATTTGACCGGCTTGCGCAGCTTTGCTCTTATGATTTGAATCCGCAGTGTACACAGCCGTGCAGTAACAATGTGCAGGAGGTATGGGTTTTCAACATCCATCACATATTAGAACCGGCTTGCGCAGCTTGGGAGGTTCGCTGTGTAGCTCATACAGCGACTGTCACATACGCTGTTCGAACCACTGCAAAAAACGGTTTATGTGCCATAAATCGATTTTTGCGGGTGCACCCATTGGTCGCTGTTCAAGCAGAATTGCGCCCAATGTTCGCTCTTCTGTCGAACAGCGACTAGCCGGTGCACCCAGTTGGTCGCTGCTGAAGCATTTTTCTCCCTAGGAGCCTGAGAAATTTGGTTGGTCGCCGTATATTGTGATGACAGCGATTGTCACAGTGTTCGAGCCACCTCACACAGATCGATGCTTGTCGTATAAATCGGTTTTTGTGGGTTGCATGGGTTGGTCGCTGTAAAGTTACAATAGCGATTGACCTCAGATCGTGGGCATGGCTGTTGTGGTGTAGCACTGAGCAAAAGCTGATGTGTGTTGTGATGCACCTTTGTTTCACCATTGCTGCATTTCGCGCTGAAAACCCATGTCTCTACATCCTGCATGTTGCAATGTGTACCTGCCCGGAAACAGCATTGAGCAAAATTCCTGCAATGCAGTAGGATCAAGATCATGCTGCAGGATGGGCATTCCGATATGACAACGTTGTCAAAACATGCCCTAGAGACGATATGGTCTTCGCTGGGCGGGAAAATTGGTGGTGCAATTGGGTTAACTGATTGGTTTTAGAGCCACAGGAATCCATAAGCTTGTATATATCCCCTACACGGAAAAGGTTGCCTTGTGGTTCAAGCAATCGAAACGGCACCCCCAAGTATATACATATCTTGAATATATATGTATATATAAATATATGTTTATGTTTGCAGACATACACGCATGTGTAAATGTAAAAAGCATATACGCACATTCAAGCTTGCATATCCATGCATAGACACGGCAAATCTATTTAACACATGTGTACATAAGGCATTTTTTGCAACATGGTGTGTATAGATTAATATATATATATATATATAAATGTATATACACATATCACATGTATCTAATGTGCATGGATGTACACGAACATGCACAACCACAATCGCACAAACACGTATATAAGTAAAAATATATAAGACCAATACATATACATATGTCAGTCACAGCATGGCGTATGCGTAATATTTATAAATAGAAAAATTAGTTCCAAGGAAACATGTGAAAACATCACACCTATTTCAGGGACGAAACGTGCAAAAGTCACGAAACCCAAGGGGGAAAAACATGAAACTCACAGGGCCGGATGAAATTCATGAAGCGCAGCCGTGGAAAAAAATGAGTTTTCATGAAATTGAAAGAACTTGGCCAAAAAGCAAGGAAATCACGAAAAGAGAACGTGGAATTCATGAAATTCAGCAAAGAAAACGTGAATCTTATGAAATTCAGCGTGAATTTCATGAAATTCAGCAGAGAAAACGTGAATTTCATGAAATTCACGAAGGAGAAGCGTGAAATTCATGAAATTCAGCAGAGAAAACGTGAAATTCATGAAATTCACGAACAAGAAGCGTGACATTCATGACATTCATGAAATTCAGCAGAGAAAACGTGAAATTCATGAAATTCACGAACAAGAAGCGTGACATTCATGACATTCATGAAATTCAGCAGAGAAAACGTGAAATTCATGAAATTCACGAAAAAGAAGCGTGAAACTCATGTAATTCAGCAGACAATGAAACGTGAAGCGTGAAATCCACGAAAAAGAAGCGTGAAATTCATGAAATTGCTCATTATTCTTGAGTCCAGAAATTCCGAGGTGAGAAGAGGAAGAAAAAGCGGAACACACGAAACGTGAAATTTCGTGAAAAAGACGATATAAATCATTTATGCAAGCTACTTAACGTGAAATTTCGTGAAATTCATGTTTCCAGATCCCAGCGATGTTTCGCAAAGTATTTGGACTCATTCAGTGCTGGAAATCTTCGGCTAGGTGGCGGGCATGCAGAGTGTATGTATAAGCAGCGCCTTCTTTTTATCTCAAATGCAGCAAAAACATGTGCAAATTTTATGCCCGCCACATACAAAACTGAAAGCCTTGGAGACATGACGCCTCTCTATAGCACAAGTGCATCATGGACAGCCTTGCGGCAAAGGTCATGCCATAGAAATCTAATTCGGGAAGAACTTTAACGTCATCGAGCCCGCTGTTGCCGGGAGCTGCAGCACAACGCTTGCTTCCGAGAAGAGTTGAATGCTTATGCTCAGAGGCAGTAGGGCTTGCAACATGTTTCTTGTTTGGTTGTTTGGCAAGCCTGCGTGGGCCTCGCCGGGGAAAAATTGGTAGGAGAAAAACTCCGGTAATACCTCTCTCTCTGTGGCCAAACCATGCTATCACCAGGTTGTGTGATGTGTTTTTGCGCAAAGCGTGCTTGATCAAAAAAACCAGCTGACCGCTGACATGAGAAGAATGCTAGAAAAGGCTTGGCGAAAAAATGACATGCGCAGAAAGTCCTGCGTGTAAAAATACATATACGCTTTGTGCGTCTGTGTAAGCAGCCCATGGGGCAACCTTTCCGGAATGTGGTAATTAACAGCCATGCATGATTGCAGTCGGATGGAGCTTCCTATTTGTTTCCCGGGCCGCTTAGAAACCTATACAGCAGTTCAATGTTGCCACGATCGGTTTTGTGCCGCAAAGTAGGGGCATGGCTTTTTTTGACTCCGCTGTGTCGATTCCTCCATCAATGATTTTTGTCGCATTGATCTCGTCGCAGTGCATACCGGAGCGAAACCGCAGTCGCCGACTTTACTGCTAGTAGTTTTTTACATCAAGCATGTAGTTTGCCCCTGTATATGTGGACTTGCGACGATGGTTGTTCAGACCGCCGTGTCACCGAAACTTGCAAATTGGCTATGGGAGTTGAGGAACGTATCCCTACTTAAAAGCCTGACACGTTGGGATGCGTGAGAATGAATATATATATATATATATATTTAAAAAAAACTACACACACATATATATATATATATACATATATATATATATCACACACACATATGTATATATATATATATTCTGGAAAAAGAGAGAGATTTACAAAATAAATAGCAGTAAAGAGATATGTATATATATATATATTTACACATATATAAAGCCAGAGAGCAACCCCCGCTATGCACTTGCAACTTTCAATATTTTGCCGTCCGACAATCACTGCGCATGAAGCTGAAGAGCCCCTCACGGGCACAAGCGGGCGCGGCATGGGCCGCTCCAATGATGACACGCTTGCTCTTTTTGGAATGCTTGCATTGAAAAGCATTGTCGACTGTGTTTGAGCGCCTTTACCTGTCAATGTGGGCTGCCCTGAAGAGCATGGTGCTGCCTTGCTATACCAAAACGTTTTGCAAAA